ACTACGTAATTATCTTTCTTATAGATGATTAATGAAAGAAGTTGTTAAGTATAATAGTATTATATATACAAAGCTTAATTAAAATATGATTATAATACTAGAATATTGTGAAAAGGTTAATACCTAACCTTGCCTTGCCATACCATGCTGTCAATGCAGGGCAAAGGGAAAGAGAACAGTATTATATAGATAAATATTTGTGTGCTTAGCTTGCGCAGGAATATATAGATTATTTAACAACAGGTATAGCTAAAGAATAGCCTGCTGCATTAAGTGCGGCTTTAGATTTAAATACTAGTTATTCTACTATTATGAATAAATTAAAAAGGTAATAAAACCTTATATGCAGCTTGCTTGTTTTTACTTCCCTTTGCCCACAGCATACTTCGTCAGCAGCAGGACTCTAAGTAGATAGAACAACAAATCGAAGCGGCCTGCGTATTCATCCTTCGGAGGGGGCTAACTAAGAAGCGCAGCAAGGTAGCACGGAGCACAGAAAAATTTGTGAAAGTAGCTATCCTTAGGATAGGGATTAATTAATTTTAACGATAACTATATATAGTATATTTTAATTTAAAGGAGGGTTCCTTTATTGGTAAGAAGGGTTGGGCTGTAAACTCAATAGCTTTGCTTGTAAGAGTTCGAATCTCTTGCCTCCTAGAATTAGTAACTTAATTAGGTAAAGGATTTCCCTGTCACGGAAATAGATGTGGGTTCGATTCCCACCTGATTCGCATAAAAAGAACATTATTTAACAACGACATAGGTAAAGTTAGATTTTCAACCCTAGGAATGAAAATCGGGTTCTTTATGTATTTTTCAGTAGGCTCGGCCTACCCAGCAATGATAGAGCGTATCTTGAAAAATACGGAGGTTTAGGTGCATCCCTCGTAAGGCTAATTATAGTAAAGGGTTTAGATATTATACTACTAATAATAAAAATACAAATTACAATTGAATAATTAGTGATATAACTGTATTAGAACAATCTTTACGTAGTCGTCCTGAATTTTATGAATGATTCTGTGGATTTACAGATGGTGAAGGGTACTTTTATCTTGGAGCTACGCATGAAAAGGTTCCACTAACTACCAATTATTTTTTCAGATTCAACTTCACATTGACGATTTTCACGCTTTAGTCTATATTAGAGATATTTTAGGTTTCGGTTAAGCATTCGAGTATAAAAATACGTGCATATTTAGAGTAAGTAGTTTTGAAGATAAAAATAATCACAAATTTTGAGCAATATACTTTAAATAGTACTAAATCGCTAAACTTCCTTAGTTTCAAGAAGGCTTTCGAGTTATATATTAACTCTAGTAAAACACTAGATTTGGTACAACAACTTGAAGAGATTAAAAGTGGTGTTAGTAGTAAAAGAACTGATTATAAATTACCAGCAAATCACGAATATAGAATTACTAATTATTGATTACTAGGTTTTATCGAAGCTGATGGTTCATTTTTCATTAAATCTAAAGAATTAAGCTTAAATTTTAATATTAGTCAATCATTTGTTGATTCAGGGTTATTATAGGCTATACAGGCATTCTTACTTGAATTAGGAGATCCTGGATTAAATAAATTAGATAAGGCTAACCCTGGAGTGAGACTTGTAACTAGTAAGGAAGAATACAGTAATAAACAATTATGTCAAATAATAGTTAATCGGCATGATTTCATTCGAGAAGCTTTAATACCTTTTCTTAATTCGCTGAATAGACAAACAAAGAAGAAAAAGGATTTTGAAGATTGAACTAGTATCTTTATACTTAGAGATAAAGGATTTCAATATATAGATGAAGGTTTAAGACTAATAGAGTTAATCATTAGCCAAAAGAATAACCGTAGATTGTCTAGCTCCGAGGTAGCAATAGTAGATAGATAATTTTTATATAAAGAGATTAACCTTATGTTAAATAAACCTTCTAACTTCTAAATTAGAAACGGTAACATTAGGGTAATATCACAAAACAGGTTTATTAATAGAGCGGAAGCTAATGTAGTACAGCTTATAAAAGATAACGGGGAAAAACATTTTATACCTATAAAGATTGTGCTGAATATATGGAGGTGTATTTACAAACTATTCCCAATAGAATTAAAAAAAAAATAGTCTATTTAAATTTAAAGATAAACTCTATACTCTTAAAAAGGTAGAATAGACCGATTAAAACTCTTTTTTAAATTTTTGCTTATATTTAAGTAGTGCTGTATGCAGCATAAAATAAAATAACGTAGATTTAGTCATTTTCGAATCCAGCACGGTTCGATTCTGATCTAATTCGTTGTACATATTGTATTCATTTATCCAAGTAAAACGCAGGTTGCATAGTTTTAGCAAAAGCTTGCGCTTTTTAGTTTTTACTTCCCTTTGCCTAATTCTAAAAAAAAAATACGGACTCTAGGACGGCTTCGCAGTCCTGCTTTGTAGCTAAAGATACAAAAAAATCTACAATAGAGGCCTGCGTATTCATCCTTCGGAGGGCCAACTAAAACAGCAGCTGCTCATATAAAAACTAAGATAGGTAAAGTCTTAAGGCACTTGTTACTTTTCTTAAAAAGGAAAAGTATCCATGGGTAAGGTAATGTATTTGCTATATACTGTGTTATTTACACTTAGGCGTTCGAATCGCCTCTTTTCCGTGATTTAATAGCAAAAGACACAAAAATAGATTAAATGTGTAACAGGCTTTGTATATGCCGAATGTTGTTTTTAGATAAGATTAGCTAAAGATATAAAATACAAAACAGGTTTATTTTATTTATTCAAGCTTGTTTTCAAATACAACTTCATTATATAAAGACTTGTTATTAATTAAATATTATTTAATAGCTTTAGCAAAAGCTTGTGCTTTAGCTAGAGCTAGAAAAAGAGAATACTACTACTGATCATGATTTATGAAAGTATAATAAAGATACTTTGTATATATTAAGAAATGGAAATTATTCTGATTTAAAAGAAATGTATATAATAGTTAAAAATATTAATGTTCAATTAGCAAGAGGTAGTAGTGCTTCGCATAAAAATCTCATAAATTAAGTACTATATATTATCTTGTTACATGAGGATTTTATGTACTAAGGGCTGTCGTCGCGGAGGTGGTGGTATCTTTAATTCTTTTAGCAGCCAGCCTGATTAAATCTAGATATTTAAGGTTAATGCTAAATATATTATAACTAGAATTGGTGTTCAATTCGCCTTTACTGAAAACTCCCTTATAGCTCTACGGTAGAGCATGTTACTGTTAATAATTAAGTATTTAGTAGCTTGCTAGCAAAAGACACAAAGATATTATTAATAGTAGTAGTATAAAGGTTCGAATCCTTTAGGGGGCCTTTAAATCAATGTTCGAAACTATAATATTTATAATATACACACATGAATAATATAAAAAAAAAAATTATAATACTATAGATATTAATAGACTATATATAATAAATAAACTTGATTATTACCAACTTTATTTCCGCTTTAAGGTATTACCCATAGTTTTATTATTAATACCGACATTAATAATATTGCTTACTATAGGTAATATGTTAGAACATTTATATAAGTACATAGACCTATATCATGCTACTTTGCCTCCTTCTCCTCCTCAAATTATTTTAGAGGAACTTAATACTAAGGCTAATGAAATTATTCCTGATAATTTAATTGAAAATACTAAAGTTGAAAGTAAACAAAATAAGATAAGAAGTTCTTTGCTTTCTTATTTTAAAATGTTAGATTTTAACCATTTAAACCCATCTCCTTCAAGATTTACTATAAAAACTATAACCAATGTAGCTGAAGTTGGTGTTAAAAATAGTGGAATCTCTGAATATATTAAGGATTCAAAAACTTTTGTATATTATTATAATAAACCATCTGTTTCTAATGAAACCTTTTATAATAGTTTAGCTATGAATAATCTAGGAAATTATTTACATAATCATACTGAAGTTTATGTTAACCCGATAGTAAATACTGTTGTTGTTCCATTGAACAATGAATATCCTAAAGACATAGCTACCAATATAGCTATGATTAGTTTATTTAAGAAAAAGTAGAAGATCTAAACACAATAATTAGGGATCATCTGCGTGAAATTTATGAATTAATAACTAAGATAACCTCATTAAGAGGTACTATAGAAGAATATGAATCTCTAATTGATGAATATATGTCTCGTACTATTACTGGTGACTTAGAATTAGAATCAAGATTAAGTGAAGAAAATGAAAGAAATTGGGTTAATAAGACTCGTAATGAAAATATGATTAAAGACTTAGAAAAGCAGAAATCTCTGCAAAGAAAATTATTAGAATTAAATAGGGGTTTTTATGCAGAAGATCAAACACGTAGGCAAGATCTAGTTTCAAATTATTTAAAATTGATTGAATTTAAAAAATAAAATATATCCTTTAAGATATTTAGTAGCTTTAGCTTGCTATTTTTTTACTTCTTTTAATATGAAAAGCGCAAGCTAGCAAAAAGGCACCGAATAGCCTATTTTTGTTTTAATTTGTTTTTAATTACATATTTAATATATTATAGAAATACTTGTAAAAGGACTTCATTATACACCAGAAGGTATATAATGAATAAGAAAAATCCCTAGTCAAATGAATAATTCCCGTTTATTTACTAGTAAGGTTAAAATAAAAAGTAGTTATTGTAAATCGGAATTGGTAGAATTTATTAAACAACCTTCAAAATAATAGATAATAAATTGTTTATTGTTTCATTAAATAGAAGAAAAATAAATAATACTCTAATTTCAATAGAATTAATTAATTCTAATAAAGAAGTTATAAAATTTTATGCGAAGCAGCGGCTACTAAAAACTGAATGTTCTATATATAGCTCGTTCTACGGTAAGTAATAGAATAATAACAGTGCTTCGCATAAAATTTTCTTATTTAAGGAAGGAATTTAAGTATACTTAAGTAATTCTAATTAACTTGAAAAATTCAGATTAATTTATATAATTATAATTATAATAATATAAGCCTTTATAGCTTAAAGGTAAAGCGCGTTACTGTTAATAACGTTAATAGATGTTCGACTCATCTTAGAGGCTTTACATGGAAAATTTTTATGCGAAGCAGCGAAGCAGCGAAGCAGCGAAGCAGCGAAGCAGCGAAGCAGCGAAGCAGCGAAGCAGCGAAGCAGCGAAGCAGCGAAGCAGCGAAGCACTACTTTTGAGGTACAAGCTATGAGTTTCTTCACCTTTATTTTTGAATATCGTGGTATTTTTA